TCATCTGAACAGGACACCAAACTTAACGATAATTCACGAAAACACGAAGGCAAGAAGTGTGGTCGACTTCAAACCTACCTACTTCTTATATTTAAATTTGGTCTACTTAATGAGGCATCTCATTATTTGGTTGGATATCCTATGCCTTGCCTAAATGCATGTTAAAAAGTTAGGTTAAGTGGCTGCAGATGAAGCGTGAAACGGATGCAATTGTGCTAAGCAAAGTTGGGTTTCGAGGAATCTCTTGTTTCATAATTGTTGAGATTACTTCCATTTTAAGTGAAAGTGTTGGGTGAAGAGATTCGAAGGTCGGTTCTACCAGAAGACGACTGCGGATTCCTCTTCACCAGATATCGATTGGCTTTACTGAAAAATTCATGCTGATGCTGTTTCCGAGGTAATCTACTTCGATTCCGGTAAAAATGTGCTAAGCTTTCGTCCGTCATATGACAATTGTGTGTATGTCATGTTTATGTCATGGGAAGTGTGATAGTCCTAGCTAGACTCGATGATGACCCAGCTCACTTCTCTTTTTCAGTAGCTCTTCCTGCACTTCCTCTCTCTCACTCTTTCATTAAGACTATTCGATAGCCACAAATAGTTCCTACTCAGTTTTCTACATTCGTTCCTCCTATCCAAGACTTTGGCTGTCTTGCTCATTTCTATATACTCCCTACTCTTATGATTTAATGTAAAGTCTCTGTAACCCACAAACAGTTGTTTTGGACCAGTCTATTGAGTGTCCTGTGTTGGCCATCTATTAAGCGAGCTCAGATTTTTGGACCCATATATCTTAACCAGCGGTTTTGTATTCGCATAGTCTCTTTAGAATGGATTGGCAGGTCTCCCTCAAATAGACCTTACTACATGATCACAAAACCTTGTAGCAGCCGGATCTGGAAAGAGGGTCTGAAAATTTTTGAAATGAAGGAACTATTGAAGAAAGTGTTAATTTCTCTTTATACATTGTTTTTATGTTCCACTTCCTCAGTATATCACCCAACTTCGTGTATGCAGCACATCCTAGTCGATAAAAGGGATAAATTTTTCGCCTAGATCATCTTTCAGAACTCTGTCACATCGCATTGTTGATACTTTCCCCTTATACACGGACTTTAAGCACGTCTCCAAGTGGTGCAACCTGGAGACTTAGGCATTGCTTGAGGTATGGGCGGAGGCAGGTTGAATTTTGTTCTGTACTTGGTACTTGCCGCAATGATATCCTACACCTCTCCCTCAATTTGTCTACCCTTTTGAATGCAGATATGGAATCAGGCTTAAAATGGAGACCAAACTTATTTGCACACTTATTTGCCCCTTTTCCAGCCTAGTTTTGATCGACTTCCGTTTAAATTTTCAATTAATGCTGGTTTCTCAGAGAGGCGCTTGGTTGCTCTTTGTAAAAGGTTTAACAATGCACGCCTATTTTAGTAGTTAAGACTCACATCTTGTTTCTATCCCTTTTTATTATCCTGCATTCCCGCAACACAGGGCTACGAAAGTCATGCCGGCCTGTCGGCCTGCCTCAATGGACCTGCTCTGACCGATTCGCTTCCGGTGAAGATGATCAAGGCGCTTGGCGGAGTTCCATTTGTGCGTACCATTGTACCGCAGTCAATGCTTAGGCGAGTTAGCGTTTTATGCCCATCCTATCGGCTGTAAGTTCAGCTTTGCCGTGTCTGCTGATGGCTGTATTACCAGTGACAGGAGTTATCGCGCTTTTCATGGGGTCCACAACTGTTTCTTACCAGTCTCCTGCATCGGCCATCCCGTGACAGGACCCTAGAAGCTGGCTTTCTAAACTCCTTTACCTCTTTCTCTGCTGCTTCACAACATTCGTCTGTTTTCGTTATGTCTAGTCCTGCTGAACAGCTTCGCTTCAATACATTCAGACTGCCACCTCCACTTTCTTAGGCACATTTGGGGTTATGTGCTGTCTTCTCTTTTCTAGTCGAATTCATTAATAGATGGGATTATATACATGTATATATATATATTTTTTAAATGTATTTATATGCGTATGCTTTTCAGAATTAATCTATTTCGGAATCGTTATGTTTGCCTTAAGCTACTCTATGTATAATGGTCTATTTTCTGTCATCTGAGTTCAGCGTACTCTCATCGAACCCCATTGACGGCATCTGCTGCCACCCGCACTTCCCTGACCGCAGCCCCTGTGGGAGCAGCTCAGGCGAAGGGGCATTAATCGGCGGTGGGGGATCATGCCTCGGATTTGGCACCGATATTGGGGGCAGCATCCGACTACCTGCTGCAGTCTGTGGAATTGTTGGTTTCAAGCCCACCACACGTCGATTAAGGTACTATTTTGCTGTGATTTCCCAAACTTCCTTATTAGGGCCTTAACCAATTCTAGCTGGCCCAAAGCTTTATGCCATGCTACTTTTGGATCCTCAGAATCTTGTCATTTAGTGGATTTTCGTTAGCGAATTAAGCCCAAAATGATTGTTGTTTTAGGCAATTACACCTACTTTTTATTAG